CGTTGACAACCGCTGTTCTGTTGTGGCCTCAGGTGGCCCAAACAATGTTGACTCATCCTGAATCTGTTGATGAAATCCCCAAGGATTTTTTGTTTGTTTTGTTTTGTTTTGTTTTTTGTCCTGCTACCACTAAGCCATGTCATCCTTACCCTTTCCACGTGGGGCTGAGCGCGCCATAAAGACAGCCTGATGTTCACATTTGTCCACTGCCCTGCGGACATCTTCTGGCGTCTGGAGTCCACTGGCCAAAGTTGTTATTGTGTTGTTGTTTGTTTGTTTGTTTGTTTTGCTAACTTTTCCAGCTTCGTGTGATCTGCAAACGAAATCACCCTCATCCAACATCAACCAGCTCCTTCATAAATTCTCCTATGGCAATTTGAATCTTGCATCAGAACATTCGATGTTGAAACCCTCTCGCTGATGATGTACACCTTCCCGATTAGTTTCCCATGGTTGCTCTTAGTAAAGTACCACACATCTGGCTACAGACGACAGAAATGGATCCAGAAATGGATCCTCTCACAGTTCAGGAAGCCAGAAGCCTGACATCAAGATGTCTGTAGGGACGCGCTCCCTGCAGAGGCCCTCACAAAGTCTGTCCCTTGCCCCCCCAACCACGTGTCATGGCGACCCAAGTTCCTTGGCATTCCTGGATTTGCAGCCACAACATTTGCTCTCAGCCTCTGTCTTCCCTTCTGGGCGGCTCTGTCTCCTCTCCCTCTGCCTTGCTTTTATGAGGACACTTGTCCATGGTGTTTAGAGCCCACCGGGATAATCCAGGATAAGCACCTCCTCTCAAGATCCTTAATTTAATGGCATCTTTGGTCATATCAGATAATAGTCATAGTTTCCAGGGATTAGCATGTGGACGTACCTTTTCAGGGGCCACCATTAAGCCCACTACACCCTTCCCCAGCTGACCTGTATGTATAGTTGCAGTTTTCTGCCCCCAGGGGACATTTGGTAATGTCTGGAGACATCTTGATCGTTACAACAGAGGGGTTGGAGTACAGGTAGTGTCTTGTTCACAGAGACCAGGGATGCCGCTAGCTACCCCCCGATGCACAGGGCAGCCTACAAACACAACAAAGAAGCATCTGGTCCAAAGTGTCAATAGTGTCAAGGTTGAGAAAGTCTGATTTATAATAAATTATGATTATATTATACCCTATCTAAAAAGCCTCCACTGGTGATGCCTGGGTGGCTCAGTCGGTTAAGCAATCTGCCTTCTGCTCAGGTCATGATCCCAGGGTCCTGGGATCGAGTCCCACATCGGGCTTTTTGCTCAGCAGGGAGCCTGCTTCTTCTCCCTCTCCCTCTGCACCACCCCCTGCACTTGCTCACACTCTCTCTCTCTCTGACAAATAAATAAATAAAATCTTAAATAAATAAAATCTTATTTTAAAAAATAAATAGAAGTGAAAAGCCTCCACTGTCATCTCCATGTCTCATTCCAACTTTATTTTTCATTATAGCCTTTATTATATGTGATATTAAATATACCTTCTGATCTGTTTTATTTCCCTTCCTTCTTTTGTTCCTTGTCTATGACCCCAAACACTGGAACATCACCTCCACGAGGGCAGAGGTTTGTGTCCATTTTGTTCACTGTTGTATCCTCAGCCCCTTGAACAGCACCCGGCACATAGTAAGCAATCTCTAAACATTTGTTTTATTTGTTTGTTAGTTAATTAAGGTGCAGACATTTCCTGAGCTCTTATGATATGCCAGCCACCAGGCTGGGTTATCTCATTTTGATACAAAAAAGCCTGTAAGTAGTGTAAGTATTTTTCATTCTCCACTTTTCAGATAAAGAAACGGTAAAGGTTAAGTAACTCGATGAAGATCCCACAGCTCTTGAGAGGGCAAGTGGTAAAGCTAGACAAGTCTCTTCAACAAATGCTGCTAGGACAACTGAACATCCACATGCAAGAAAATGAATCTAGACACAGACTTTATGCACTTCACAAAACTTAACTCAAAATGGATCATGGACTTAACTATAAAAGCACAAAACTATGAAACTCCTAGAAGATAACAGGAGAAAACCTACACACCCTTGAGTATGATGATGACTTTTTAGATACAACATGAGCTATGAAATAAATAATTGACCAGCTGGATTTCATTAAATTAACAACTTCCACTCCGGGAAAGACAACATCAAGAGAATGAGAGGATAAGCCCCTGACAGGTAGAAAATATTTGCAAAAGATGCATCTGATACAGGGCTGTTACCCAAAATATACAAAGAACTCTTATAACTCAACGATAAGAAAACAAACAACCTCATTAAAAGATGGGCCAAGACCTTCACAGACACCTCACTGAAGAAGATAAACAGATTAGAAATGAGCATACGGAAAGGTGCTCTGCATCCTACATCATCAGGGAAGAGCAAATCAAAACAACAAGAAGATACCACTCCATGCCTCTTAAAATGGCCAAAATCCAGAGCACCCACAATGCCAAAGGCCAGCAAGAATATGGAGCAACCCAAACTCATTCCTTCATTGCCGGGGAGAATGCAAAATGGTACAGCCACTTTGGAAGACAGTTTGGCGGTTTTGTACAGAACAAAATATACTCTTACTATATGACCCAGCAATCCTGCTCTTTGGTATTTCCCCAAAGGAGTTGAAAGATTACATTCACACAAAAACCTGCACAAGGAAGATGCTAGCAACTTTATTTGTAATTGCCAAAACTTGGAAGCGTACAAGATGCTCTTCAGTAGGTGAATGGATCCATTTTGGTCCATCCATCCAATTACTCAAAAGAAATGAGGTTTGGAGCCATGGAAAGACATGGAGGAATCTTAAATGTATATTACTAAATGAAAGAAGCCAAGCTGTAAAGGCAACCCACTGCACCATTCCAGCTATATCACATTCTGGAAAAGGCAAAAATGGAGACAGTAAATTCAGCGGTTGCCAGGGGTTGGGAGTGGTGGGGGGTAGGGAGCGTGCACATAAGTAAGTGGAGCACAGAGGATGTTTAAGGCAGTGAAAATGCTCTACATGATATTATAATGGTGGGTACGTGTCATCATACAGTTGTCCACAGGATGTACAACACCAAGAGTGAACCCTAAGGTAAACTATAGACTTCGGGTGATTATCATGTGTCAGTGTCAGTTCATCTTTGGTAAACAATGTACCATTCTGGTGAGTGATGTTAATAATGGGGAAGGCTGTGCATGTGTGGGGCAGGGGGTATATGACAATCTCTGTACCTCCCTCTCAATTTGGTTGTAAACCTAAAACTGCTCTAAAAAACATTAATTCTCTTTTTTTAAAGATTTTATTTATTTATTTGAGGAAGAGCGAGAATAAGAGCGATCACAGAGGGAGAGAGAGGAGCAGATTCGCCACTGAGCAGAGAGCCAGGTGGGGGACTCCATCCCAGGACCCCAGGATCATAACCTGAGCCAGAGGCAGACGCTTAACTGACTGAGCCACCCAGGCGCCCCTAAAAAAATATTAATTCTTAAAAAAAAAAAAAAGACAAGGTCCTTGACCCAGTGGAACTTCTATTCTGTTGGGGAAGACAATAAACCAGTAACTGGATGAGTATTACCTGCTCTGAAGACACGAACACAAGACAGAGTGACAGATGGAGGGAATCCAGTAGGCAACTTCTTAGGACCACCAGGAAGGTCTCTATGAAGAGGAGACATTTCAACTGAAATCCGGATAAAGAGAAGAGAGCAGCCATGCAGAGCTCGGGAGGAAGAGCAGTTCTGACAGAGAGCAGAGCTCAGCAGTCAGGGGAACAGAAAGAAGGTCCCTGGGGCTGGACTTGAGTGGCTATGGGGCTCTGGTGAGGTTGGAGGAGGGCAGGGGTCAGAGGCGTGCTGCAGGGCTCTGCGGAGGCAGTGCTGAGCCTGGTTTGGATGAAGTCTGAGGTCCCTCTGCTCCCAATCTTGACACACTTGTGGGCCCTCTATGGTGCCACATGCTTCCTGAAGGTGACCCCGCTTCCTTCCTCCCAATAGCAGTTACACAATCTGAATTGCATTCTGAGAGCTTCCCCTGTCACTCAAGAGCCCCAGCGGTGGTTCATCGCCAGTTGAGTTATCATGAGCAGTCATCCCCACCCTCCCTTCCTACAGGTCCTCTGGGCCTCAGCGGCCGCATCTGTAAAGTGCCCGGGGACCAGGAGGGGGGAACCAAAAGATGCAAATGGCATTTCCAGTTCTGTCCCTGCCGCTTTGGATTGTGATTGGAAGAGGATGCAGCCCAAGTGGGATCCAGGGAAGAAGTGAAAGCGAAAGATGGAAACTATTACTCCAGGCTCCAGAGGTGGGGGGAGGAAGAGTAGGCAGGGAGGGAAGTTTTTAGAAAACTGAGCAGGCAGAGACCCTGCGACCCAGGGTTTCATTTCTCCTAAGCTCCCCAGAGCACCATGTGACGCAGCCCTGCCACAGAAAGGGGAAGCAAGGAGAGCCCAGAATTTCTCAAGAAGCAGAAAGCAGGACCGAGGGCGAGCCGGACGGGAGAGCCACAGGGGGCCGGGGAGGAGGGGAGGAGGGGAGGAGGGAAGGCAGGGGAGGCCGTGGGGGGTGGGCAAGGAGGCGGTGGAGCCGACAGCCAGACCGGTGGGGGCAGAGCGAGCCCTGTGGGAGGGCCCCCTCCCCAGAGTGTACGCCAGGTGTCCCAGGTGGGAGGGACGACACTTTAGCAAGCCGGGGCGACCAACCGGGGAGATCAACAGGAAAGGAGGGGGAGGGGCAGAGAAACGGGGCGAAGAAGGGGGGACAGCGGGGGCAGTGGGGTTGAGGGGAAGGGGAGAAGGAGGGGGGGTCGGAAGAGTCAGGGGTGGATGGAGGAGAGAGGACAGGGTTGAGGGTTAGGGACGGGGCGGGGTAGAGATTGGGTAGCCCCTGAGGCCAGAGTGGGGGTGGGGGGGGGAGAAAGGCAGAGGAGACAGGAAGGCGGGGTGGGGGGGCGGAGGAGCCACAAAGGGTAAGAAAGGAGGGCGGCCCGTTTGAGCGCGCGGGGCCGCAGGGCAGGGCGGCAGGCGGACGATGCCCGCGCCGGGCGCCCGGGAGGAGCGCCGGCCGCTGCTGGCGCGCAGGCCGCGGGCGCCCCGACGGTGGCGGCGGACGGCGGCGGCCGCCGTGCTGCTGGTGGAGACGCTGGAGCGCGCCGCCTTCTTCGGCGTCTCGGCCAACCTGGTGCTCTACCTCAACAGCGCCAGCTTCCAGTGGGACGGCGAGCAGGCGTCCCGCGCTGCGCTCGTCTTCCTGGGCGCCTCCTACCTGCTGGCGCCCGTGGGCGGCTGGCTGGCCGACGCGTACCTGGGCCGCTACCGCGCCGTCGCGCTCAGCCTCCTGCTCTACCTGGTCGCCTCCAGCCTGCTGCCCGCCACCGCCTTCAGGGACGGCCGCCGCTCCTTCTGCGGGGAGGTGCCCGCGTCGCCGCTGGGGCCCGCTTGCCCGTCGACCGGCTGCACGCGCGTGTCACCCACCCCCTACTGCGCGCCCACCCTCTACTCCGGGCTGCTGCTGCTCGCCCTGGCCGCCAGCTCCGTCAGGAGCAACCTCACCTCCTTCGGGGCGGACCAGGTGAGTGGCAGGCGGGCCAACCCCGCGCCCAGCGAGGCCCCGGGGAGGTTCGCAGGGCCAGCGAGGCTCGTGGGGGCTGAGGCCGAGAGCCAGGAGCGACCTCAGACAAACCACTTCCCCTCGCTGCTCCCGGTTTCTTTACTGGAAAGAAGAGGGGGCGCTAACTCAAACAACAATACCGATGGCCACCATGGTAATAACCATAGCTGGTTTTCTTGGACTCTGCGCTGCTTTCGATGTTTTCACTCCTTTCATCCTCTTAACTACCCAGGAGGTAGGTGGTATTATTATGTCCACTTTACAGACGAGGACACTGAGGTTTCAGGATATGAATCAACCTGTCCAAGGTTACGGAGAGAGCAGGTCAAGGAGTAGGAAGGGTAGCTGGACTTCAGGCCCCACCACGAGCCCCAGCTTTATGTGCGGTAGGGATCTGGGGGCTAGGGAAGGAGTAAGCCCCTTCTTAAGCAGCAGTGCCAGAGGTGGGGGTCCCGCAGACTTGTTCAGATCCCAGCTCTGCCACTCACTAGCCAGGAGCTAGTGGGCAAATATCTCAACTTCTGAGGCTTTCTCTGTATGCTTTTGGATGGTGGGCGTGGCACACAGGAGAAATTCAATGAATGTTTACTGAATGAATGAGTGAAGGCCTAATGATATGACTATATTTTGATAGCTTTACTCAGTGGGATATTAGACAATAAGTTTAAGTAATATGTAATAGGATTAAAGCAACCACATGTGGTGTTAGTGAGCAAAAGCGAGGCAGAATGATTACAGAATACGATTACAGCCCTATGAAAAGACTGGGAGTCAGCTAAAAGGAGAAACCGGAAAAGGCTGTAACAACAGTGCGATCAGATCACAGGACTTACTGTACTTCTCCCTTTCGCCTCTGTTCTTCAAATGTTCTTTAATTGTATGTATTCACCATCATAAAGGGAACATTTTCAAAGAATCATTGCATCCAGCTGCCACCCACAGTTCAACATCCTACACGGTTTCCAGTGTCCTTACCAAGGACTGACTCATCCAGCCTATTTGGGTTCCTTTGATGACGGCGGACTCCGTGCCCTCAGGGAGGCCTGTCCATTCCTCAGCTACTGTTGACCTTCCTTCGGACTAGGAGACCCCCAACATCTGCCAATAGGAATCTCTCTTCTTCCCTTTATTCTACTCTTTCATTGACATCCACTACACCTCCAGGTGCCCTAGGCTGCCCTAGGGGGTCTGAACCTGACCCATTGGACAGGTTGGAAACCCTGAAATGATGTGGACATCACTGGATTTGAGTTCTTTAAAAAAAATGTCTTTGGCTACAGTGGAGAGTGGATGGGGGTAACAGGAGCAGATACACCAAAGCAGTGAGGGGCTGCTGCAGAATTCAGGGGGGCAGTCAGATGGAGGGTGTGTGGGTGGGAAGGGTTGGCACCATCTGGCAGACAGCCATACCCAGGAGCCGGGTTTTTAACACACTTGCTGATTTCAAAAAGGGCCATCCATCATTCTTGACAAAGTGCTCATTTTGGGAGAGCTCATTTATATCCTGAATGGGCTGTCTGGTCTTCCCCTTAGAGTTGCAATTGTCATATTCATTTACATCCAATTAATAAATGGAAGTGCCTGCACATAATGGGACTTATTCAATTTTCTGCTTGAAAGTCTACAGCAAACATTCTCATCATGTGGACGTGGTCCTCCCCCTGCAATGCCTAGAGGACCCCTCAGAATCTCTAAGGGCATGCATCTGTATAGACTATAATTTTACTTTGGAAAAGGAAAAATAAATACTTATCTTTTCCCCAATGCAATTACAGAACATAAAGCTTGACAAAAAGGAGAACAGTGGATTTTGAGATGCGTTGGTTTGTTGAAAGGGTGACGGGTGTAACAGCATACAGAATCACCTTGAAAATTGACCTCTAGTCTTTACTGCTTTTTAGAAATGCAGATGCCTGGGCCCTGCCCCAGACCTGCTGAGTCAGAATCTGGGACCAGGGTCTGGGAGAGGTGGGATCAGCCAGTGCAGCTGACCCGAGCCCCCAGACTGGAAGGGGGCCTGGGACCTGACTGTTGTAGATTGATCCAAATCCTGGGTAAAGATTTTCAGTCTTTCTGCCCTTGCTGCTGGGGTGGGGGGAGGGCTTTTTTTTTTTTCCATCAGGCCAGAACCCGTTCTTGGGGCTGTGTCGGAGACCACCCCTGCTTTCCCTGATATGCCAACCTTATTTGACTGGGCATATAACAGAGGGAGCAAAAGGGGAGGAAGGGATGGGCCAATGGGCCACAGTAGAAAACTCTGCATCTCCAAATTGCAGAGGAAATTCTCAATTAGACTTTTAAGTGTTCTTTCAGTAATACACATACATCATATTTAATAATGTGAAACAGACCTGATCTTTACTGGCTTTCTTCTGATTATAAAGTTGATACATACTATAGGTTGTTCAGTCAAAGACAAATGAATAAATCAACCAGAAATGAACAAAGTGGCATCAGAGACATCTGTTGTATGCACTCCTTGGTGAAAATAAAAAAAACACTGTGTGCCATGGGCATGAAAAAACAGCTCTGCCAAACTGTCCTGATCATTAACAAGTGACTCCCAAGGGAAGGGTTTATTCATTCAATCAACCAATATGTACTGAGTGTCTATTTAGTGATCAGGGACTAGGAAAGTGCTGACCCAGGCAGTGCCTCTGTGGGAAAAGAGGTGCAGGGACATCGTGGCAGGGTGCCCCCGGACCTCCCTTACTCTCACCCCTGCCCCGCAGGTGATGGATCTTGGCCGCCATGCCAGCCGTCGCTTCTTCAACTGGCTTTATTGGAGTATCAACGTGGGTGCCGTGCTGTCACTGCTGGTGGTGGCCTTTATCCAACAGAACATCGACTTCCTGCTGGGCTATAGCATCACCGTGGGCTGCATGGGCCTGGCCTTCTTCATCTTCCTCTTTGCCACCCCCATCTTCGTCACCAAGCCCCCCACAGGCAGCCAAGTGTCCTCTATGCTTAAACTCGCTCTCCAAAACTGCTGTCCCCGGCTGTGGCACCGACACTCTGCCAGGTAAGAAGGGGGCTCTCAGGGAAGGGGGCCACGGAGCCTGGAGGTGTGCCGTGCTCCTCCTGGGGAGGCACTGTGCAGGTGGGAGAACGTTCTGGGTCAGCTCCCGTGGTAGCCTTTTATGACAATCTGCTGTGCCAGGGCCACAGCAGACTGCTGTGACCGAGGTCAAGGTGGTGGTGGTGACGATACTGCTGACGGACTAACTGTAGAAAGTGGGAGGCTGTTCGTGGTCTTGACAGTGACGGTCAAGGTCGAGGTGGAGGTGTTCATTAGCAGCCGCAGTGAAGATAAGTCGGTGGTGACTGACAAAGGCAGTAGGGTTGATGATGGAGACAATGGTACCAGTGAAGGCTCTTGGGATATAATATAAATAATCCAACACCACGATGGTATTAAGTATGAGAAAGTCTAAGAGGGCGCCTGGGTGGCTCAGTCGGTTAAGCATCTGCCTTCGGCCCAGGTCATGATCTCAGGGTCCTGGGATCGAGCCCCTCGTGGGGTTCCCTGCTCAGCGGGGAGTCTGCTTCTCCCTCTCTCTCTGCCCCTCCCCCCTGCCTATGCTCTCTCCCTCTCTCACTCTCTGTCTCGAATAAATAAACAAAATCTTTAAAAAAGAAAAAAAAGAAAGTCTAAGAAATCAGCCAAACTTGCCCCCCCTCCATTAGCCTGCATCCCAGGGCGGAAGGTTCTGAACAGCTTCACACACACACACATACACACCAGCTTCCTATGGCCCCTGTCCTTCCTGAAGTTAATTGACGACTTATGCTAAGCAAACCTGTGTCTGGACCTTGGAGCCGGTTACAGATCCTGTCAGTAGGCTCTAGATGGAAGAGGGGCAGGACATGTTTGTCCAAGCTGGTACATTGCTGTGGGGTTTTGTTTTAACGATCCTGTGCAGCCCGACAAACTGTCCTGGAACTCAGTGGCTTAAGCAACCATGTTTTCTTACCTGTCACAATTCTGTGGGTGGCTGGGCTCAGCCGGGCAGTTCTTCTCCTTCTTGTGATGTCACTGGGAGGGGGGAGGGGGCTGCAGTCATCTGGGGACCTGAAGGGGTTAGAACATCCAAGATGGCTCACTTATGTGGCTGGCAGTCCACGTCAGGTCCCCCTCCCGTCATGTGGCCTCACGCCTGTGGCTGGAGCCTCTCGCGGCAAGGTGTCTGGGTTGCAAGAGGAGGGAGCTTTCTAAGAGTGAAGGTTCCAAAGGGAAGGAGGCAGAAGCGATCAGTCCTTTACGGGTCTTGAAGTCCCAGAGCCATCACTTCTGCTCATTCTGTGGGTCAGCCACAAGGCCGGCCCGGATTCCAGGGCAGGGGGCGAATCGCCCATGGGTGGAGGAGTGGCATCACAACCTGGGAGGGGAGAAGCTGATAGCGGCCCATCTTTGGAAAGGACCGCACTGATGTTACCCCTTTCGCCATGTCAAAGGATGAAGCAAGGCTCTAGAGCAAGAAGAGATTAGAAACCTGTCAGGACAAAGGGTAAAGGGGAAGGTCACAGCAGTGGTTGATCTATCCTGTTTCCTGATCATTTCCCCTGCACCCCTACCTCTCGGCTGCCTCCCTCCTCGTCCGTCGGGTAGGGAGAGGACTATAATGTTGCCCTGTTGAAGAGGATGGACTTGGAGACAGCAAGTGGGGGAGCTCTGGCATATATCAGACCCAGGCCGACCTCTCTCTCTGAGTCAGGCTTGGACTGAGACTTCCCTGCTTCCCACAGCATGCTGATGCTGTGAGGCCAAAAATCCCCCAACACTCCGCTCGCCACAGGCCCTGGTTTACTTTTCCCCAGACCACTGGGCCTCAGCTCCGGGGTGGGAGGGGTCTTGATCAGCCACCTATGTGAGAAAGGAGGGGACAGTGAGGGCAGTGACAAGGAGTGTAATGAACAGTCGGCGGGAGGCTGGCTTTGGGGGGCGATTGCCTCACTAACAACAATGATGGCGAGGATGGTGATGATGATGATGATGATGATGGTGATGGAGAAGGTGATGCTCATGGTGGAGGGAGGAGATGAGTGATTTCGGAGGTGATGGCTAAAGTCACTGGTGATAGGGAAGCAAGATTAAATTAGGGGATAATGATGGCCGTGGGGCTGCTATTTTATCTGCCGTCCCCTCTTGGCCCCACAGAGACCCTCAAGGCACCCAACCGCTGCCCGACCAGAGGTCTCCCCAGCCTGGCCCTTCCCCTCAAGAGGACATGGCCAACTTCCAGGTGCTGGTGAAGATCTTGCCTGTCATGGTGACTCTGGTGCCCTACTGGATGGTGTATTTCCAGGTGAGCACCTGGCCCTTTCACTCTGGGGGCATGGGCTCCCCAGTCCCCTGATGGGCCTCAGCTCTCACTGTAGAAGCCCAGAGCATGTGGAAAGGGAGGCAGGGGTTCACAGTGTGACTTGGGGCTACGTGGGGCCTGGCACAAAGCCATCCCGATAATGAATAGCATGAGGAACTCTGGAGATGGGTCTGAGGCCCAGTGCCTCAAATGTCACCCCGTCTGTCTGGGCCTCATGTGTAAGACGGGTGGCTTGGAGGCTCTCAAGAGCTCTAGAACAGTCAGATTTGTTGACGTGGCAACTGAGGCTCAGAGTTGCCCGATGCCCCACAGCCAGTTAGGGGCAAGCTCAGTGCATCAGATACTTCACAGTGGTGATCCCCTACCCGGGCTGTGTCTCAGAACCACCTGCAGAGCTTTTAAAACTGATTCCATGTCCCACCCCAGACTACTGAAAGAATTGCTGGGGGAAGTCTCTAGAGTGATAAACTTCTGAGGGGAGACTGGTACTCAGCCAGGTCTGAGACCCGTTGCTTCCCACCATCTCCTGAGGGGAAGGTTGGTGGTGGTGGTGGTGGTGGTGGTGGTGGTGGTGTGTGTGTGTGTGTGTAGGGTTGGCAGCTGCCTAACCCCAACTTCTAACCCCCAGACGACAAGATCTTTGCCTTCCATACCCCCTTCCTAGGAAGCTTGTTTTATGTTTATAGAAGTTGGGGGTTATGCAGGGCCAGCCTGCTACTTGGTGGTGACATGGAAGCAAGGGGACAGGGACATGGGGAGGGTGTGTGTGTGTGTCCACAGCCGATTCTCGGAATACTGACATTCTTACACACCAGCTGGTCCATAGCTGTTGTCCTGAGCAACCCGAGTGTCCTCCCCCACCCCAGACCCTCCTGGGGGATTCTCCAGGATCCCCCTGCATTATAGAGCAACTGAAGGGGTGATACCTGGTGTGGCAGTGGGCCCCCTGGAGCCTGCCCCTTCAGCTCTGCCCAGAGCCATTCTGGTGGGCTGGTGCCTATGCAGGGCCTATGCTGTGTCAGCCCGTGGGATGCAGCTTGGCCTCAGTGTCAAATGAGCGCTCTCTGTGGGGACAGCCATGTCATTATCTTCCCCATGTCAACAAACATTTCTTCACGCCTCCTCTGTGCCAGACTCTGGAGACACCAAATGTGAGTCAGATCAGCTGTGCCCAGGCTCTGGGGTCAGGCTGCACACAGAGCTCACAGGCCTGGGAGCAGGGTGAAGGAAGCTCCCTGACCGAGCCTGGCTCCTGAGGAGGAAGGAGAGTAGGGGGGTCACACCCCAGAGAGGACAGCTGCCCAGCTATATCCTGTGCTCCTTCCGAAAAACGCCCATCTAGGAGCTGGCGGTCTCCTGGGCTGGAGGTGAGGTGGCCAGCTCTGTTCCAGCCACGGCTCCATCTCTCTTGGCAGATGCAGTCCACGTATGTCCTGCAGGGTCTTCATCTCCACATCCCGAACATTTTCCCAGACAGCCCTGCCAATAGCTCCATGGCTCTGAGAGCCCAGCGCAGCAGCTACAAGGTAAGAGACCAGGCGTGCGTTCAGCCTCCACTGCAGGCGGTGCTGGGAGCCTCCTCTGCAAACAGAAGGAAATGAAGGGGTTTCCATGCCCAGGTGCAGGGGTTCCTCAGGGAACATGAAAAGCCCCAGGAAGATGGATACACTTGTGCCCCAGCCCAAGAATTCAGGCCAGCTTCGCTCCCACCCACTGCTGTTCTGAGGCAGGCCTCAGGGCCTGCAAGGTGCACTCGGGTCCCTCAATTCTACCCTGACTTCCTTCACTCTCTGGGACCCCTGGATGCCCAGATGTCTGTCTTTCACCAGAACTTTCCAAATGCCAGGTCCTTGGCATTTCAGACTCATAACATCAAAGATCCTCAGAGCTGGCAGAGAAATGACATTTGCCTCTGTACCTGCATTCCTTGCCCAGGACAGACATCACTAATCCATCTTGACATGTTTTCATGCTGAGCCCGAGAATGTTCCAGGCAGCCACCACCCATTGACAGAAGCCAGAGGAACCAATTTGCCATCTCTGATTTAATCCCGTCCCCGACTCACCCTGCTGAGGAAGGTGCATTCCAGAGAGGGGAGAGAGCTTACCCTGGGTCACCAGGGACAGTCTGGAGGCCAGTACCCCCAGCTCCCGCCCAGAGCGCCTTCTGCTCTGCTAGCCTGCCTGGCTTGGCCCCCTCTTGCCCAGATCCCGGAAGCCTGGCTCCTCCTGGCCAACGTCGTGGTGGTGCTGATCCTGGTGCCTGTGAAGGACCACTTGCTCGACCCTTTACTGCAGCGGTGCAAGCTGCTTCCCTCGGTCTTGCAGAAGATGGCCCTGGGGATGTTCTTCGGCTTTGCCTCCGTCCTTGTGGCAGGTGTGTGGGCCCGAGTGGAGGGACTCGGGGAGGGAGCCTGGCTCCACTTTGGGCTGATGCTGGAACCGTGGGCCTGGGCCACGTACACCCTCCCACCACGGGCATCCGTCTTGGCTTCCCAGGGACAGTGAGCTGAAGGGGACCCTCCTCCTCTAGCCCCGCCTTCCCTTGTCTTGACAGATGAGGGAACTCAGGCCCACAGAGGGAAAAAGATTTTCCCCCGCGGGATGTAAGCTCCTTGAAGGCAGGTTTTTTTTTTTTTCTTTTTCATTCACTGCTATGAATAATGCACATGGGCACCCAATCAGTGTGCTGAAGAATTTTTCAGACACTCAGCCACTTTTTTATTTTATAAGAGTTTATCATTTATTCTCTTCCTTCTAGTTCAAGAGGATTTGAAGCCATTTATGACAAAGGGGCTCTGGTAAAGAAGCCTTTCGTGCTACTGCACAAACCTCCGTCCCTTTCACTTGGTAACTTAATGATCCCGAAGTGACTTAGCGTTTTTGAGCCCCGACTTTGCAATGGGGATAGTAATTCATTTAGCCCCTGTGCAGGACCCGAGTTCTGCCCTTATGGAATGTGGTCTAGCAGGAGTGTTGTGAGGATTAAAAAAGGTGAGGTCTGTGAGACACCCAGCACTGTGCCTGGATCACGAGGAGGACCCAGGGGACTCAAAGCTCAAAAACCAGTTTTATGTTGCAAGGACGAAAACCAAACTAGGCTCTTTTTCAGCTCCACGCTTTAATGCATTTTGTCTTAGTTCATCCCCACAACAATTCTGGGAATTTTATTCCTACTTCTTGCATAAGAGCACTGGGTCTCAGAGAGGTTAAGTGATTTGCTCAAGGTCACACAGCTAACCAGTGCCAGGGCTCAGGATTGGAACCTGCGTCACCTCCCACCACATCCAGTGTCTTCTAAGCAATGAAGGGGAAGGAGATAAAAGTAAGCTTGAAAACCAGGTTAGAAACCCTTCTGGATGCTGCAGTAGAGAAGTCTCGTGATATTAGGGAAATAGGGTCAGTTGTGAAATCAGACCCACAGGGGCTCAAGTCCAGCCCCAACTATGTTCATCAACTTGGGTGACCCTGGGCTGGTTGCTTAACCTAAATTTGTCTTTCTTCATTTACAAGAATGCATATTAAATGCCCAGCACATAACAGGCTCTCAATTAATGCAAGCTGTTCCTGTTCATGAGTGCAAAACCTCATTCTGAGCTTCCTGGAAGCCAAGGCAAAAGTCACAGAGTTGAAACTCAGATCTTGGGCCTCCACCATGCCCCCAGGCCAGTGTCCTTCTCCTTTCTTGCTGCTCTGTCACTGGCTACCTAGGGAATACCCTCCGCGTGCCAAGCTCTGCCTTGGGCTAAGCTGCGGATGGTGGGCCTGGCTATTTATAGTCCCCCTCCATCCCCCACCAGGAGGCCTGGAGATGGAGCGCTTACAGTACATCCATCGCAACCAGACGGTGTCCCAGCAGATCGGGAAGGATGTGTACTATGCAGCTCCACTGTCCATCTGGTGGCAGATCCCTCAGTACCTGCTCATCGGGATCAGTGAGATTTTTGCCAGTATCTCAGGTACCTTGGACCCCTCCCCTGCCCTCGCACCAGTGATGGGCTCTGCCTGGTGCTGCCTCGAAGTCAGAGGTCTCACGTGTGGAGGAAGGCCAGGTTTTCTGAGTGGGGCCGCGTTCACCCAGTGGAGACTTGTTAGCACCTGCTTTGTGCCAGGCACTGTGATAGGCCCTGAAGATTTGCAGGTGGTTAAGACACTCCCTACCGACTTCCCACATCGTCCCTGGTGCCCTGTTCTTCATCCCCCGTGTCTGCGTGGTTGCTGTTCCCTGTGCCTCAGAATCAAAGTGAACTCCTTTTCCATTCACTGCTGAGCCTAAATGTCAACTCCTCCATGAAGCCGTCTCTGAGGCCCCTGGGCAGAGGGAGTCCTTCTAACCTCCTTTTGCTCATCTCCATTCACGGCCCCCCGGGTCGCTGTATTGTAGGAATGCAGTACGTTTGTGTCCCCCGCCGGGCTGTGAGCCAGAGCTGTGGGGTGGGGGTGGGCTCTTCATTCAGCCAAGCAGCAGCGACTCAGCCGCAGGCCTGGGGCTAGGTTCTGGTGGGACTCACTCAGAGCTGGGGGGACAGTCACGCAGACAGCAAACCCAGGGGAGGGCTGTAGCGGTGACTCTAGGGTGTAGGGAAAGCCCCTGGGACGAGGTGGGGAAGGGGCAGGTGGGCAGAGAAGGCAGAACTCAGCAGGTAGCAGGATGTCCTAGGCAGGGGAACAGCAGACGTGGAGAGCTAAGCTTTGTAGGGAGTGTGCGGAAGGCTGGGGAGGTACGGGGCCAAACCTGGATGGATGTTGAAGTCTCTCTTGTGGGCAACAGTGCCCCCTGCCCCCCACCCCCCAACCACCATGGGGATTTTGGCAGGAAAGGATCCCATTAGAGATTTTTTTAGACAGACCCATCTAGCCGTGTGAGGAGGAAGACAGGAAGCAGGGGGGTGGTTTAAGAGGCATTTGCAGGGGCTGGGCACTAAAAGACCAGGGCCACCCTTTGGCCCAGGGCAGAGGGAACAGAGAGGACGGCAGACATGAGATTTCTGAGGCTAAATCAAAAGGATTTGGTGATGATATTGAAGGCGGGCAGAGAGGGTAGGGCAGAGAGAGGTACTATCCCTGAAATGGATAGTACCAGGAGGAGGAGGGGAGACAGAGCAACGTGGGGGCATCCAGGTGGAGGTGTTCAAGCAGGGGAGTAGATGAGCAGGGCAGAGCAAGGGGTCTCGGGGGCACGGGTGTTGTCCTAGCCACGTGGTGGGCAGTCATGCAGGGGAGGCCAGGATGGAGGCTGGGTGGGCCTCATCTCTGCTCCTCCACCGTCTGCTTGGGTCTCCCCCTCCCTCTGCAGGCCTGGAGTTTGCGTACTCCGAGGCTCCGCGCTCCATGCAGGGTGCCATCATGGGCATCTTCTTCTGCCTGTCGGGAGTGGGCTCGCTGTTGGGCTCCAGCCTCGTGGCACTTCTGTCCCTGCCCGGGGGCTGGCTCTACTGCCCCAAGGACTTTGGTGAGTGTGGGGCCCTCCCTGGGAGTGGGACATGGGTGGTGGGAGGCTTGGAAAGGCGGTGGCAACCACTAAGTGCTTTGACCCCAGGCAGAGTGAAATGGCAGGCCGGACTCAGGAGAACTGGGTTCTAGCCCGAACTTGGCCGGTCGCCCACAATGTGGCCTCCCTGCTTTGGGCCTCAGTTTCCCTAACGGTCAAAAAGGAATCTGTGAACTTAGCAGACCTCCAAGTCTCCTTCCTGCTTCTGGAAGTCTGTCATGCTGGCTGAAGGGTCACCTTTCTCTGGGGTCTTTGTGTTTTAAACCCCTGAAAGACTAGCCCACAGGGACTTGCCAGCAGCACAGGAAACCCTAGCAACTGCCAGGTGCCGAGAGGGCTGTCTGCCCACCCACTGCCCCCGCTGCTTCAGCTGCCAGTCTCGGGGGAGCCCTGCCCGACTCTCATGCCAACCCCTCCTTTCCCCAGGGAACATCAACAATTGCCGGATGGACCTCTACTTCTTCCTGCTGGCCTGCATTCAGGCCGCCACGGCCCTCCTGTTTATCTGGATCGCTGGCCGCTACGAGACGGTAGCTCAGGGCCCAACCTCCCAGAGCTGTCCCAGCAGGGACAGGGGCTGAACACCCTCCCCCCAGCTGCCCCCTGCCCCCCCGCCTGCGCTTCTCTCCCCAGGACACAGACAGCCACAGTCCCAGTGGGGGTTCCTTGAGTTTATTCTGTACCCAACGTTAGGATGAAATGGTTCTCATAAATAAGGGGCGTAAGCCCTTCCTCATGAGCATGGTCCATGATGGGGGCGGGCAGGGCAGAGGGGGCCTGGGTGGGCATCCTTTTGAGAGGCCAAGCAGGGGACTTGGATGCACAAGCACCGGAGGGTGAGCAGGAGGCTGCCCGGGCTGGCGGCCGACAGTGCCGGGCCAGGCGGGCTGGTGGGGGGGTCAGGAGCTGCCCCGGATCCTCTCCATGTAACTGCGCAGCTCCTCGGGGTCTTTCAGTCCCATGTCCTCACATACCCAGCGGATGTCCTCCTCCCCCGCCACCAGGATGGACTGCACAGCGGGGGCCCCTACGGGCTCCTCAGACAGCTGGGCTGGGGGGGCTGGCGCAAACGTCACAAACTCTACCCGCTTCCGCCGCCCCCCGGCTTCCTTCCGGGCCAGGGTGCTCGAGGAGCCGGTGGTGCCCCCAGCAGGAGCCTGGGCCACGGTCAAGGCCTCCCCTCCGCCCCCAGTCTCGCAGGGGCAGCCCCCCTCCCCCTTGGGCAGGCCAGGGGACTGCCGGTCCAGCTGGCGGCTCAGTTCCTCCTGGTCAGTGCCCAGCCAGACCCAGTTGTGGGGCTGGGGGGAGGCAGGGTCGGTGGCACTGTCGGGAGGCTCCTTGCGCTGGTAGCGCAGCACGAAGACCACACCATTGACCAAGAAGATGAGGATGGCCAGACAGAAGATGCCCAGCAGAGCATACATGCCCAGCTCTAGGTCGGTGACCCGCTGAGGGGCGGGGACCATCTCCTCCTCTTCTTCCTCCTCCTCCTCCTCTCCAGCCTCTGCCCCCTTCCCAGCCTCCTCCTCTGCCCGCTCAAACTTGCCCCTCACACCCCCGCTGCCCCCAACACCACCTGCCTCCCATCGTTTACCACCCATGCTGGCCTCCGTGGCCGGTGAGCTCCGGGCAGGACTGGATGGGAGGGCAGGGGCCGGGGTGGAAGCAGGGGGCAGCCCTAGCCAGGCAGTGCCAGAGGCCAGGGGCACACGGTGGCGGCCCCGGCGGCAGGGCTCAGGCGGGTGCAGAGCCACATGCAGGGGCAGCCCCTCGGCACCCGCCCCACTCACCACCACCCCGAGCTGGGCGCCCCGCTCCTCGGCTGGCAAGACGGCACTGGGCTCCTCGGCTGAGACAGATAGTCCCAGGTCATGGTGGTCGTAGAGCTCGGCGGGGGCCAGGGTGTGGTCAGAGAAGGACAGCCAGAGGGAGAGGGCCACCTCCTGTGGGGCACACGGACACAGGCAGAGACACGCGAGGGCACGCACGCATGCACACAGAGACCACTCCCACAGAGACAGGCCACACGGAACGAAGGAGGAGAGATCAGAGAGAAAACAGACATGGGCAGATGGACAAAACACAGGGAGAGAGGGGACATGCGTCAATCACCTGTCTGCCACTCAGCCCTGGGGTCTGAGTCATCGGGAGGGTCCTCAGAGCCATCTAACCAACCTCCCACTGCCACACTCCAGCCAGCCACTGCTTGATCACCTCCAGCCGCAGAGAGCTCACTACCTCACAGGGTAGTCAGTCCTCATTCTGAAAACCCTAAGGTGAGGGGTCCAGGTGCCTCCCATCCCCCTGTCATTAGCCCCCACCTGGCAATGTTGAGCTCATCCCCCTGAACCCCTGGCTGTCACCTGCTTTGGGGCGGGAAAGGCTGACTGTGCCCAGCATGTGGCTGTGACCTCCCCGGGGTGGGCAGTGCCCCGGCTGAGGGCCAGTGAGATGCCCATCACCGGCTGCACCCGCAGCTCCAGCACCGAGACCTTGTCATCCGTCACGGCCAATGCCTGCTCCCCCAGAATGGAGTCAGACAGCGGCGAACGCACCTGAGGGTGAGAGGGACCTGCAAGTTGTTGGGGGGCAAGTACGCAGAGAGCCTCTCCTGTCTGAGCCCCATCATCGGCACACACTGCTTTTCCCCACCCTTTGCACCCCATACGACCTATACATCCCCATGCCTAGGGAACAACAGTTCCCTCCTTCTTCAAGGCCTGGTCCCCACATACCCAACCCCAGCCCTTCACGCTTTGAGGGTGTCCCCCATCCTATTCTCACTCAACCCCCAATCCTGCTGGGCTCATACCTGCCCAGGTACACCCTGGGCCCGTTTTGACACTCTTCATACCTGCCCATGAACATTCTGGGGGCCACCTATGCCCTTCTCATGAGGGTCTGCTCACCTCGATGGAGGTGACGCCAGGCTCCCGGCCCACCAGGATGCGGCCGCCCTCCAACGAGGCTACGCGCGGGTCCTGCACACGTGCGTGCGGCGCCACAAGGTGGGACACGTCCAGCAGCCAGTCGGGGCCGAGCAGGTGGGTGAGGCGGCGGCCACCGTCCAGCGGGTGGGCCGCGAAGGGGACAAGGAAGCGCACGCCGGCCCGCTGGTACTGCAGGCGGCAGCCCCGGGTGCGCCGTTCGGCCTCCTCCGCCGCCGCAGCAGCCTCGGGTTCGGGCACTCTGGGGAGGTGGGGGTGGGGCAGGACGGACAGACCCGGGGGCGGGGCGTCAGCTCGGGCTCCGCCCCCAGCCGCTGAGGGCCCCGCCCTCTGGAGACCCCCCCCATTCCCAGCTCCTAAGGGACGCGCATTCTTCAGACTGCACACAGCTGCCCCTCTGCGTGCCGGGCGCGGTGCCCGCCGTTCCTAATTGGTGCCTATGCCTGTCCATCAAGCCGCTCTCGCCCTCCTCTTGCTCTTAATCTGAATTCTTGGCTCTTGGGGAGGCGGGGAGACCTCTCCGAGGGGGGAGACCTAGAGATGCTCAGCGTCTGGGGGGGGCCTGGCTCAGATTCCTGAGGCCACCTCACCCTTGGGCTCTGGTGGGACCCTCTCGATATTTACTGAGCTAGGTGCCATCTTAGGCTTTGAGGACGCAGCAGTGAACAGAATAGACAAAACCCCTCGCCTTCAAGGTCTTGAAGTCTCAGGGAGGAGAGTGAAGGTGGTGGGCAGACCACAAACAAGATGAATCAAGCAGTCCAGTAATTAGGAAGTGATCTGTACTTCGGAGAAGTGTGGCATGGGAGGGGGAGAGAGAGTGTGGAGGTCTGCGATCACAAATAAAGTGGCCAGAGGCTGGGTGGTGACAGGCAGGTGGGCAGGAGGGACGGAAGCAATGGGGCAGTTTTTAGACCCCAGCTTGAGCCCATGGCTGTGTTCCCTGCACCATCTCTCGGGTCCCAGAGCGACTTCGCCAAGGCCCCCACTCACCCTTCAGCTGGGCCGGGGACCCTCCAGCCTCGGACCTGCTCCAGGGTGGTGTCGGTCAGCTCGATGCGCAGGGGCAGCAGCGGGGCCCACACTGTCAGCCGCAGTGAGGCCCTCAGCCGGCGCCACCAGAAGTCCACCCGCACCCCGCGGGCACCCCGGCTCTCCTTGCCAGACACAAACACAGCATCGCAGGTCTCCGACACCTATGGGAGGTAGGAGCTGGGCTAAGCCTTGGGAGACAGCTGTGGAGCTCAAGGCAGAGAGGGCTGCCCTGAGCCCCCGCCATATGGGGCAGAGCTGAAATTCATTCTGCATTTTACTGGCATGTCTTAAGAGTATGAAGATTTCACCAAGGGGTGCCTGGGTGGCTCAGTCGGTTAAGCGTCTGCCTTTGGCTCAGGTCAGCCCTGCATGGCTCCCTGCTCAGTGGGGAGCCTGCTTCTCCCTCTCCCTTTGCCCCTCTCCCCTGCTCCTGCTCTCTCTCAAATAAATAAAATCTTAAAAAAAAGGGCTTCACTATGTATCCGAGATCCATTCTAGAGGAACCAGCCATTCCCCAAGTTCACCTGGGGCTCAGCTGGGGAAACTATTTGCATAAAAACAAAATCTTTCTCCTGGTAGTGGAGAGTTCGAACCCACACATTTGGCTCATTAGCGCTGGCGTCTGACTTTTGTGCTGGAGCCACCTGGCAACCAACTACAGGAAGGTGGGCAGAGGCAAGACAGACCTACCCACCCGAGAGCCCTCAGGAGGGAACCACTCACACAGGGGCAAAGTGCCATCGTAAGTGAAAAGACACCCCTTCCAGTCAGGCAGCCAGGATTTAGGAAATGCAAGCTCTGGGCTTCCCCTCTTAGAACTTCCAAATGGAGAAAGTTACCTTGCCCCCTTTTTTCCCCCCCTAATCTCATGGATCATTACAAGGCTCTAATAATTACCATTTTTAGCATCCTCTAAGTATTACATTGTATTAAAAGCTGCCATTGCTTCAGCCCCTGCTCTCTGCTGGTATAGTGTCTAGGATGCTTTTAATTCTTTTTTTTTTAAGAGCGGGAGGAAGTGGAGGAGGGGCAGACGGAGAGGGAGAATCTTAAGCAGGCTCCATGTCCAGCGAGGAGCCGGACATGGGGCTCAATCTTGCAACCCTGAGGTCATGACATGAGCTGAAATCAAGAGGTGGATGCTTAACCGACTGAGCCACCCAGGCACCCCTGGATGCTTTTAATTCTTACAATATATTCCCATTTTATATATTCCCATTTTAAAGCTTAGAAAACCAAGGCTCAGAGAGGTGAAGAGACTGGTCCATGATCACACAGCTAATTGATAACAAAGATTTTTTTTTAAGATTTATTTATTTGACAGAGAGAGAGAGCGTGCCTAAGCACAGGGGGAGCAGCAGAGGGAGAGGGAGAAGCAGGGAGCCCGCTGCGGGGCTCGATCCCAGGACCCTGGGATCATGACCTGAGCCGAAGGCAGACACTTAACCAACTGAGCCACTCAGGTGCCCCCAAAGATGGGTTTCAAACCAAAATTTGTGGGTCCCAACATACATACTCTCTCTCTTTTTTTTTTTTTTTTAAATAGGCTCTAGCTCTATGTCCAATGTGCAGCTTGAACTCAGGACCCTGAGATCAAGAGTCACATGCCCTACTGACTGAGCCAGTCACGTGCCCCCAAAGTATGTGCTCTTAACTCTCCCACATCGGTTCATCTGTCAATACAGTGATGAACGTGGAAATGCCTAAGCTGTGGCTGCTGGGGTGACATAGCTCCCACCTGACTGTGGAGAGAGGTGGTGGAAACAAAGTTGAATCTGTGGTGCCCCCCACGAGGTTTCTGGTGTGAAGAAGATGCTGTTCTCTTGGGGACCCAAGTGGGGAGGGTGTCTGTGCATCACTGTGCACAGGAGCGCATACTCACATGGGGTTGGCACATGCCACTCACCTGCAGGACCTGTGTGTTGGCCGACTCACAGCCGATGTGCTCTGTCACCTCCACCAGAGCCCCCCCGCTGTCCACGGTGACCAGGCGCACGGGCACCCGCCGTGCCTCTCCAGTCAACAGCGCCGTGTTCACCAGCTCCTCGGCCTGGGGGGGGCGGTTCAGGAGGGGCTCAGCCCCCAGCTCTTTGCCTCACTTGGCCCTGGGCCTGGCCGGGCACAGGCGGGGACTCCTTACCTTGGCCAGTGGGACAAGGGCTCTTACGTCCCGCTCCGACACCAGGATCTCCCACACCATTTTGTCCTTCTCTGCTTCGGGGGCCTGGCCTGCGTACTCCAGCTGCCATGTGACAGGGCGAGTGACTGCCAC